GAAGTAATAGCAAGGCCTATAAAGTTTTGAACCATGCCATATAAACGGCTGCGGGTGTGAATAAGCCTTCATATAGCGCACAGTGAAGGGAAAGAAGGAAAAGATAATGACTCTGTGTGAACATGGGAAAAGTCGCTGAGCCTTTATACATTGAATAAGCAAACACTTATGTTTTATCTGTTATTCTCATGGGGTTTTCTTTATGCTCAAACTGCGTTCTGTCTTTTTTCATTTCCTTCTCGTTTCTTTGGTGAAACTGTCATTATGGCCCGTTTCTGTCACTAACCAGTACGTGCAAGTTTAGGACGGGTTTGCAGTGAGCCACCGTATTGGGTTGACCAAAAAGTTCACCTGTTTTTTGCCGTAACATGGCTCTTAGTAGTGCTCAGTTGTCTTTACCATCATTTAACTACAGTTTTGTTAGATTGTATTGTGACAGTGGTCATATCAGCGCGCCTTTAAAAAAAACTTATCAAAACTGGTGAATTTTTGTGTAGCCATTTTAATATTGAAGATGGCAGAAAGTATGCAACATTTTTAGCACATGATGCTTTATCATTTCAAGAAAGATAAAAAATGCAACTGAAACACACCAAAAAAGATTCGTGCAGTGTATGGAGAAGGTGCTGTGACAGATCGAATATGTCAAATTGGTTTGTGAAGTTTCGTGCTGGAGATTTCTCACTGGACGATGCTCCATGGTTGGACAGACCAGTGGAAGTTGACAGCGATCAAATCGAGACATTAACAATCAACATTACACCATGCGGGAGATAACTGACATACTTGAAATATACAAATCAATAAAGTTATTGATGAAAATGAAAAATGCATCTTTCATTTTATGGGAAAAAACTGTAAGGACTTCTTGGCCAACAGTTACAAGAGGAACATCATCATGGTTTATCCCCACCCAACCCTGTTTTATTTGGAATCGAATTGGGAAATGAAAGTTTTTAGCAGTTTAATTCACTTCTCCATAAAGTTTATGGAGCAGCAACAGCTGGTTGAATCCATGGCAGAAAAATCCAACTTCTAGTGGCCAAGCTATTGTTTTAGAATTAGGGGTGGGGGGGACTCATTAACTGTTAATGAAAACACAGGGAATAAAAACAAATAGCACAGAAACCCTAGCAAATAATTACCTTACACCTAACACAAAGCTGCTTTATCTTTCTGCTCCAACCCTAAGAAATTCCCAACTTATCACTCTGTGGAGCATGAATGAAATTGAGTTTGACTCTCAGGAAAGAACAAGAGAGAAATATCCCCCTTATAGGCCCCTCAGCACAATACTCAGTGGAGAACCTGACACTGAATATACTAAGGAGTGTATCTGGCGCCCAATTCTTATGACACTTAGGATGGAAGAGCAAATTACCAGTTAATAGCAGGTGAACACTTGATATAGTTCCCCTAGATCTTGTTTAGAAATACAAAGAGAAGAGACTGCAGGTAGTGGATGTGATGAATGGAGATATTGTATGTTGGAATATGTACGTCTGTATAGAAATGCACTGATTCTGAGTTGCAAAGGGAAAGTGTGTCTCCAGTGGCAAGGGTTCTTGCTTGGAGAAAACCACTCTAAGCAAATGGAGTTCTGAGCCCTAATTGGAGAGCTGCTGCGTGGAAATGTCTGTCACTACAGTTTGTGGTCATTTATGTCTGATCCCACTGGGCTGCAGCAGTGGCCACTTGGAACTGCGGCTCTCAGAGCTGAGCTGCAGATGAATCACTTGCGGTTATGTTTTAACAAAAAATGATGTCATAAACTTAAACCCAAAATGACTGTAGTAATTGCTGTTTCTTCTATGAAACTTTTCACCCATGCATCTCGGGTGGTTGTAATCATTTTAATGACACAGGAGTGTCTATTTATATGGTGTTAAAGGCGTTTTTTCAGTGTGTGCCCAAGGGAGTCGGGCCACTTGATACAACACTAAAAACACTTCTAGCAACATTTCCATCATCGGGAACTAATTATGCTTGGGTGTAAAACATATTTTCAAAGGTTTCCCTCACCACGATCATTTTTAGTGCTGACCTTAGGTCTGTTTTTGCCATGTTGAGCTGTGTACCTTTACTGTTCCATGCTTTATGTCATGTGCTTTATGGGGGTATGGTCTTGTACTTGGCTGTCGAAAGCCCACCTTGGGTCACTGTGTTCAGAAACCACAGGAATCATGTGGACGTGACCTTCCCATCTGAAGTTAGTAAATCAAAGGCCAAATCCAGACAGGTATCTGGGGTGAGACTTTAAAAGTGGAATCTCGCCCTGGCTGGCGTAGCTCAGTGGATTGAGCGCGGGCTGGGAACCAAAGTGTCCCAGGTTCGATTCCCAGCCAGGGTACATTCCTGGGTTGCAGGCCATAACCCCCAGCAACCGCACATTGATGTCTCTCTCTTTCTCTCTCTCTCTCTCTCTCTCTCTCTCTCTCTCTCTAACTCTCTCTCTCCCTCCTTTCCCTCCCTAAAAATAAATAAATAAAATCTTAAAAAAAAAAACTTTCACTGTTAAAAGTGGAATCTCTAAATATAATTGGAATAGATCCTGGAACAAAAAAAAAAAAAGGACATCAATGGAAAAACTGGGGAAATCCAAATAAAGTCTGTAGTTTAGTTATCAGCAATGTACCAATGTTCATTTCTTGGGTTTGACAGATACCCCCTAGTTGCTGATGAAGCTAACATTTGGTGAAGCTGGGGGAAGGGTACACAGAAGCTCTAGGTCCTATCTTTGAAATACTCACAGTACATCTAAAATCATTCCAAAATAAAAAGCTCACTAAAAAAAACAACAAAGCAAAGTCCAACTTGATCTGCTTATTAAAAACAAATAAGAAACAAAAAAGCCAGGATGCTAGAATGTGTGGCAGTAGATCTGTCAGATTTCCGAGGCAAGCAGAGAACTGTGAGTCTCAAAAGGGAAAAAGGACTCCTGGGCATGGACAATAGTGTGGTGACCGCTGGGGGTAATGGAAAAAAAATGCAATAAAGATTAAATGAAATTAAATAAAAAGAAAACTGTGAGTATAGATAAACTGTCCTACAAATGTTAAAGGTTGCATGGCAACCCAAACTATTGCTTTTTAAAAAAATGCAATTAGGTTTGGCTCAAAATTTTTTAAATTGCTTTAACTTCACAGCTTACTTTCAGGTTACCTGCCAGGGAGTCTATTTAGATTGTGTTGCTAATGTAATTTCCGTGGATTTTTGCAGCAGTGATGCAAAGTTTAAGTAGTTGAACCCTCAGTCCAGTAGCTGAAATTTTTTCTGGTTATAATGAAAATTTCATGGTGATTCTTTAAGCATAATCATAAGCTTTATATCTTGACCAGTAACCTAGTAAAGGAGAGCATTTCTTGTGGCTCTGGCTAGCAACTCTTGTATGAAATGTTTTTCTTTTTTTTTAAAGAAGACTCTTTTTTAAAAAAGATTTTATTTATTATTTATTTTTAGAGAGGGGAAGAGAGGGAGAAAGAGAGAGAGAGAGAAGCATCAATGTGTGGTTGCCTCTCACGTGGCCCCCACTGGGGACGTGGCCTGCAACCCAGGCATGTGCCCTGACTGGGAATCGAACCTGCGATGCTTTGGTTCGCAGCCCACACTCAATCCACTGAGCTACGCCAGCCAGAGCGAAATGTTTTTCTTTTTAGTTTTACTCTTCTTCTCCACAAAACTCCACAGTTTATTTCTGAAATCCTGTATACTCTGGTTTCTCTTCAGATCGTATAAATCTTTCGCCTTTTACTAAAATCCTGTATCTGCAGGTGATCGACTCAGTAATGGACATCTGCCTGCCATAGATCGTAGAAGACTCTAGATATGACCATCTCATTTATGGAAGGAGAAGGCTACAGCCATTCTCTTTTTATCACTTTATACCCTCCCTATCCTTCTAGTTTAATTGTAGGAAATAAACCTTTAAAGTGAGGCAATACAGATTCTATGTAGGTTGTTTGGTTTCACTGCTCCCTTGTCGAAATCCAGGGCCAAAACACGACAGTGTTTACGGAGATTAGCGTTGGTGATTTCCTTTGGAAATTAGTATTTGAGATAATATTAAATTCAGTTGAAAATCCTCTTTTCACGTTTGTGAAATGAACTGAGCAGCTGTTGGTCTCCCTTTGTCAGCAGAATGTACCTCTGTTGAGGGGATTTTAAGGAAAGCCATTTGCAACACAGAGCCTTTTCTTCCGGTTCCTGAATGAGCTAACATCCTCCATCTGAACCTTTTAAAGTATCATAATAGCATGGGCCACTTCTACAAAATATAATTCAATGTATGTTGAAAACACCCAAAAGAGATTAGCATTGTTTTAATTGCATAATTCAGTATTGTATATACATTACCTTTCATCAAGGCCATTTTACAGAACAAATATTACCTTCTCAGGGCTTTTAGAATTCCTAAGAGGTTGGTCGCACAGGCTGCAGAGTAGAATGATAGAGAACTTTCTTAAGATTGCGAACCAAGTAGTGATTGAAATTGGAGTCAAATCCAGCAAAGTCCAGGTTCTCTGTATTTTTACTATTCTTATTTTTCAGACCAGGAAAGCATACTGACCTGGCTACATTATATTATGCATGGAATGTTAACCCTTTGTTTAATTTATTCTATGGCATTTGGAAGTATAAAGGGAAAGAGGCATTCAGAGTAAAGGCCACAATTAATGGAGACATAGTATATATGGATACATATTTATACAGCTATATTTTCATTTTAAGTGTGATGGAGAAGTTTCTCTCTAGTGGCAAGAGTTCTCCCCACTCTAAGTCAACAGTTTCCAAGGTCTAGTTACAGAGTAGTTGAATGGCAAACTTCCTGTCCAGGTAAGTTGGCTTTGAACTTTTTCATCTGCTTCTCATGTGTTAATGAATAGTGGGTGTGTCCATCAAGTAAAAGCTGTATCTTTTTGTGTGAATACTAGAAATATTCAAAGACGTTTATAAAGGTGCCCAAAGTATGACCTTCCTGTTTTTTCTTTTTTGTCCCTCAGGGGGAGACCAGGCTGAAAACTGCCTGGGACAGGACAGCCCCGATGACGATTACAGCGGCGGAACCCACGGCCCCTCTCTCACACCAGATGCGCCGTTTCCGTCAGATTACCAGGATGAGGGTGAGTGTCGTTCTTCTGCATCTGGGGCCATCCTTCTTTGTGACTTTTTGTCCCGGTGTCTTTGCCCACCATCGTTTTACTCAAGCAGCCTTCGGTGGGTTCTCTGTGTTGGTAATCACTAGTTTGCCAAGGACAACTATTTGTTTCATTTCGTTGCTGGTCCTCCTGGGTAATTCAATACCTCTTCTGAAGTTAATGTATTTAGGACAACACTAATTCCATATTAGAGCAGGAAGACATCATTACCGATCTTTTTACAAGACCTGCGACTCAAAAAGGCATTTTAAGATTGCAGGGCCCCATTTGCCATTCTTACAGATTTTTTGGCCTCACTGAGTTGCACGAGAATTAGAGCTTTCATTTAATGGTTATTGGACTATTGGTTTATTGTGGATTATTTGAAAATGTTAAGATCGTCGTATTATAATAGGGCCATCTTCACCTATGTTCCTCACGTACCCGTGGCCACAGTGGTGGTGTTTGAGGGGCGGCCACAGGAACACAATGCAAATCTTTCTGGAACATCAGTTTTACTTGAAGATTTGGAGATGGGAGGATTAAAACAATTCGGCTGTCATAAATATTATTTTTATATTAAAACACACTGGTGTGTCATAGGATGGGATGCCACATATACAAGAGTTTTTAAGATACATGAATATGAAAATTTTGGCTTGGTGACTGCCAGGTTTTGGCTCAGACTCTGCTGTCTCAAGGGTGGGGGTTCACGGCGCCTCTCCTGGCACCCGGCCGCTGGGACGGAAGGTTTGATCGTCACTGATGCACACGTTATCTTATCCGAGTCTCTCTCGTGCCTTCCTGGGGGGGAGGAAGGTAGAGATGCTGCTAAACTGAGTATTACATTGGAAGCTTATTATTCATTTAGGAGTTGGGAGTAAAGTTGGTAAATTATTTCTTACTTCTCTTTATTAGTTGTAATCTTTCCATTTATTTTTCTTCCAAATCTCCCTACGACTTTGGCATTTTCCAAGAGTTCTTAATCTCGATAGTCCCTCCTCTTTTTTATTTATCCATGAATTCTTATTTCATTTAGGTCTTTCCGTGATTCGTTTTTCTCCCTTTCGTTGAATTGATAACCTGCACCTAGGAACTACGGATTCAATCGCACAGAAACATGTTATTTTGCTTAAGCTTTGTACACTGGCACAATTAGTAATACACAAGTTTTAGAAATTAGGCCTTGTAATGTGAGATCTGTGTATTGGTTCAGGTATTACACTAAAAACATGGTTTGGATGGAGAGCTTAATCATTACATTGGTAGCTGATTAATAATTGTAGAAAATTAACAGTGCAAAACATTAAGAAACAATCTTTCATTTGTTTTGATTAATCTAATGCTTGACAGAATTGGAACAATAGTACCTCATTAATCCATAAGTCACTTATTTGGTATTTCCAACTTTCCCAAGCGCAGCTGAAAACACAATGAAGTAAGCCAGAAACACCCCCAAGTAGAAAGAGATGTTTCTGTGTCCCGTGTTAACACTTACTTACCTTATTCTTGGGAGAGCCCCCGAGGCCTTCACTGGGGATTCCTCATCGCAGGAATTTCTAACCATCGCAGTGTTCTGACCTCTTGGCCCACAGTAGAGTGAAGCATCCAATGAGAAGAAGGGGTGCTCTAAAGGCATCCGTTGAGGTACAATCAAATAACACTGAGGTAAGAGACAGGACAGCTGTTAAAATTTTATGTAGAAAATAACATTATTAATTAAAACAAAATTTATATACAAACTCAAGAAACAGTTCAAACTGTCCCCTAGGAGCTCAGTTCCCTAACGAAGTAAACCTTTTTAGCCAGCATTTATTGAGCACTTACTACATGCCTTGTTATCTGTATTCTAAGCTCTTGGTGTATATCGTCCTCAGAAAAGCCCTAAGAGGTGGATATTAGAACCATCTTTATTTTACAGGTAAGGAAACGGATACCAAGGGAAGTTAACTTATCTGAGATCACACAGCTGGTTAGTAGCAGTGTCAGGGTTTGTGCTTACACAGTCTGGTTCCAGAGCTGCTGCTCTTAATCGCCCTAGTGTCCTTCCCATTATCCTTACCTCAGTTATCCGACGAGATGGATTCTTTTTCCAGACATTTTGGTTAAGACGGTACAGATACACATGGCATGTTTAAAAATATTTGCACTAAAAATAGCTGAAATTTAAAAAAAAATCAGTGTTGACATTTTCCCCTTATCTGAAAAACTCCAAAGTGGAGAACTTTGTTCTGTAATGGTTTCCCGTAACAGAGGTTTTCACTCTATTAGTAATATTAAGTCCTTACTTGATAACTTTGTTAGTTCTGTGCATAAAAATGAGAAGAATTCCCAGAGAGACGCAGTCAACGACAGAGGCAAGAGCAGATTGGTTTACGGGTTTAAAACTCGGCCGCATGATGGTGCAGCGACGTAAACCCGTAAACCCGAGTGTCTGCAGAGCACCGCGCCCAGCGTGGCCTGAGCGCTGGTGCACAGCGAGCACCACCGTGTTTGGCTTCCTACCCCTGACAGATAAAGATTCATTTCCCGTGAGGTTAAAGAAAGGCTTAGAAAGGTGCTAAAAATTCTGCTTAAGTAGACTTTACCATTCTAGAGAACAGGAGTGCTCGGTGCTCATTTATTATTTTTCAGACGCTGTTTAGAGATTACCAGGTAATAATAGCAAGGCACGGTGCTGTAGACTATGAGTGAGACATGCAGTGAGGAGTCCGACGCAGTCCCTCCCCTCATGGAGCTTCCCCTCTCCCTGGGAAAACACGCTGTTAATAAACAGACGAACATAAAAACTCACTGTCCTCTGTTCCTGGTGGGATAGTTAAGGCCATCCCTTAGGCAGGGAAAAAAAAGATTCTTTACCTTTCTTTGAAGTGCCATTATTTTAGGCTTTTGGAAATTTATCTTTATTAGAAAATGAAAGGTCACTGTTAAAATATTTCAGCTTTGTTGCCTTCCACCTCCAGCCAGAGCAGTGTCCTGGAGGTACAATTATAAAAGGACACACGATCGGACCCATCCACCCATAACTGAAGTGATGAGAAGCAAGAACCATGGTGCGTGTCATGTTCGGGGCGTGCTTCTGTGCGAATTACGAAGAGGTCTAGAAGAATATAAAACCCTGGCCAGGTGCACGGCAGAAACGAAAGACAAAAGGAAACCGAGGTTACAGGATAAACCATGCATAAAAGTGAAAATACGACGCTACCTAGTCACAATTCTTTCTCCCTGTCCTTTGTAAATAAATGCCCTCAGTCAGAGAAGGCCAGAGACATGACCACGGATGAGCACATAGCCCCACCACTGGGAATGAACACCTGCTAACAAGTAATAACATTTAGATTTCTATACCTAGGGAGGCACACTTTCTACCATATTGAAGGAAAAAAACTTAGTATGAGATGCTGAATATAATAATTTTACAAGAGTCAGCCAGCTACAAAGCCCAAGATCCGATTGCTTTCATGGTCCAAAATATACAATGGAATTCAGCGTATCTGTAAACTTATTTTATTAGTATAATGAATAACCTCTATATACATTCCTTTTTTTAAAAGATGGGATGGGGAAAGCGATCACTCTATAAATAGGGTATAGCTACTCCTCCCGGAAGAAAAAGAAAAAAATACTTTATAAGAGATGAAACTTAAAATCTATAATAATGTATTATATATTATGTCCTATGCATGATTACATTCTAATTAAGGAAAATGGAATGAATGGATATTGGACAGATATATTTGGGAAGAAGCGGGAAAGAATGTTTTTAGAGCTTGATTTTACATCGGGAAGCGGAAGGTTTAGAGAAGGTCTTGTTCTCCAGCAACATGAAAAATAGACTCGGAAATGTAAAGGCCGGCCACCATCTCTGGGGAAGAGTGACAATGAATGACTGAAGATCCGGTGTGCTACTGGGCTTAAAAGAAACGGCAAACCTGTTAGAGTACCAACAGTGGCCATTTCTGACTCTGCACCTTTTCTGAAAGGTACATGAAAAAGCATATAGAAAAATTTGAAAATAAATAGATTAAGTTTTTTTACAGCTTTATTTGTAGCCCCATCCCCACTTTTTTTTCTTTCTTTCTTTTTTTTTTTTTTAACATTTCTCTGCTTTCATTTGGTTCTGAAACAGAAGTCGGTTTGGGCTTTAATATTATGAATAATAATAGCATAGCTTTTGTTGATCATTATATGCTTTATTTCTATAATAATAGGAAGAGGATATTATTTTGATATCTTTTTAATGGGAAGAATCTATTTTAAACAAGACTATTTTAGTACTGTGAAATAAAAATTAAGGTTTAAGTTATTGATTAGGTTTTGTGGCTGGAATTCATGTCTGTCTTACCAAAGTTAGAATTGTACCAAAAGTTAGAATTTTGGACTCTGGGAGCTGGAAGGAATGATAGTCATCTAATAACAGGAACCTTTTATTGAGCACTTACTATGCTATACAAAGTGCTTTCTATTTAGAAGCATTTTTCTATGTGTGTGTGTTTTTCTGGTTTTGGGGTTTTTTTTTCATTTCTAGGGATTTTTAAACTTGCTTTTTTATCTTGAGTTCTAGTTGTATTACATTATAGTCTAAGGACATAGTCTATATTATTTCAATTCTTTGGACTTTATGGAGACTTCTTTTGTGGCCTGCCCATGATCAGTTTATGCTTATGGGCTCTATGTGTTCCCAAAGTGTCTATGCACCCCATTGTTTTTAGATGTATAAATAGTGTCCTTGAGATCTCCCGTGTCCTAGCTTTTCTTTTATCTGCTGAAAGACTTATATTAAGATCTCCAGTTACAGTAGTAGATGTATCCATTTTTCCATATTTTGTTTTACATTTTCAAGGTCATGTTATTAGATACTCAGAAAGAGCTCTGATTGTTTTCAAAAGGTTTCCTCTTGCTGAGCTGCAATCCTATACCTACAGTTTCCACTTATTACGCTAGTTCTGCCATCGAGGTCTGCTCGTAGCACCCCCGGTAGACTT